CACATCCCAGCCCCCACCGCCGCTCCCTCCCAAACCCCCAGGCGCCCCCCGGCCTCCCCCCCATCCCGCACCTGGTACTTGGCCAGCTCCCCGCTCCGCCGGTCCCGCAGCCCTTCCAGCTGCCGGTGTAACGCGCCCACCGCCCCCCGCAACGCCTCCACCTCGGCGGCTCGGGCTCGCAGCAGCCTCCGGTAACCGGCGGCCTCAGCACGGGCACGGAGCACCGCCTCGCCGCCGCCGCCCCACCGGCACCGGGGCCGGCCCTCGGCCGCGCTCATCCCGGTGGTAATGCGGTTCCACCCCTCCGCGTCACGGAACCGCAGCCAATCCCGCCGGTACCGGGTGGCCGACTCCTCCCGATAGCAACGGAGAGTGGGAGCCGGCAGAAGCCTGTCCCTCAAAAGTGGGGTGAGGGGCTGCAGCATCGTGGATAGCGGCAGGGTGGGGGGCAAGGTCGTGTTCAGGGTCAAGGTCACCGCTGTCACCCCCACCACACCCCCTTCATTCCCTCCACCATCATCAGCAGAGGCTGGAGTCGGGCTGGATGGTCCTGGCCGGGGGAACCCCTTCTTAGGGGGTCACTGGGGAGGGAGGTGCAGAGATTTGCCAGAAGAAAGGGGATTCAGCCCCTCTGCACCCCACGAGTGTCCTGTGGGTCACGCCACGGCTCAGTCTGTGGGAGGTGATGGCAGTCCCGGGGGGAGTCAGGGACTGGTGCAATCTGCATGGGGGACACCCCGAGTCCACGGCGGGGGCCTGCAAGGGCATGTCCAGGCACAGGGAGCTGACAGACCAGTGGGTGGGGGGCCGGGGGTCCAGACCATCAGTCTGTCCCACCATGGGGTGGGGCCAGGGTGGTTAAGTCCTTCATCCAGCCCGGAGGGCACAGATAGAAGCCGGAGGTGACAAACTCCGACCGGGATAAGGCAAGTGGTGTGGGTGGTGCAGACCCTGCTCTCAGGGTGGGGGGCTTCCAGCACCAGGAATGAGCGGTTCACGTCCTGCCCTACTCCAGGTGGGCTGGAGGCTGTGGGGCCCAAAGGGAGCCAGTGTGACCCACGGAGCTGCTGGTGGGGGAGCTGCAGAACCCTGCCAGGTGTGGGAGTCCATCCCTGGCCTCCCAGGGGTCCGGGCAGGGAGCTGCAGGTGTCCATGGGGTGTAGTGGCCCAGCCCTTGGCTCCCACGGGTCTGAGCAGGGGGCTACAGACATCCGTGGGGTGCAGGGGCCCAGTCCTGGGCTCCTGGGGGTCAGGCAGGGGGCTGCAGAGGTCCATAGGGCGTGGGGGCCCATCCCTGGGCTCCTGGGGGTCCAGGCAGGGGGGTGCCCACAGCAGTGCTCCAGGTGGGGTTTGGTGAAGCTTTGAGTCCAACCGCAGGGGCACGGCCTCCCTCCTGGGTGGTCCTGGGAGGCTCTCCATGGCAGGGAGGGGGCTGCCAGTGGGGGGCTCTCAGGAAGCTGCAGCCCCGTCCCTGCCATGGTCCAGGCTCAGAGCCCACCGGGCTCCCACTGCCTCCTCCTGGCACATCAGCAGGGCCCTCACACCACAGAGGCCACCCCCGAGACCGACGTCACCTTGTTGTCCTCGGCCCAGGGCTGGAGGTTCTGCAGGGCGTAGAGCGAGGAGTTGTGCATGCAGAGCGGGTCCTGCGGCAGCGGCTGCGCCAGGCTCTTCTGGAAAGCCTCCTGCTGCAGGTGCAGCATCAGCCGGTTGGCCTGCTGCCGCTCCGCCTCGCGCTCCTCCGCCGTCTGACGCCTGCAGACACCCACCATTGGTACAGACGGCAGCTGGCACTGCCACGTGCCAGTGGGCCGCTGCCCCACACATCCCACAACACCACCAGACCTCACCCAGCAGCGCATCGGGGAGGCCACGGTGATGGGCAGCCCATCCCATCCGTCCCAGTCCCATCCTCTCCCAGAACACTGGGCTCACTGCTGGAGGGATGTGGGGTTTGGGGCTGCCAGAGGGACATATTGGGGTGGCTGCCAGAGAGATGTGACCATCATTGCTGTCACAAAGTCACCCGTTACCTCCACTTGGTGCGGCGGTTCTGGAACCAGGTCTTGACCTGGGCATCTGTCATCTTGAGGGCCTTGGCCAGGGTGGCACGCTCGGCCGAGGCCAGGTATTTCTGTCGGTGGAAGCGCTTCTCCAGCTCGCAGATCTGCACCCGGGAGAAGGACGTCCGCGGCTTCTTGCGCTTGGGCGGCGTCCGGTTCTGGTACGGGTGCCCGATGCGCCGCGTCGCCACGAAGGGCGACAGCGCGGCTGTGGGGACAGCGGTGTGAGGGGGGGACTCGGGGTGACCCCAGCAAAGCACAGCAGAGCAGGACACCGGGGGGATGCCAGGAGGCTCAGGGCTATGGGGATGGGAAGCTCCAGGGGAGCCACCAGTGCTCCCTGAGAGAGTAGGGGAAGGGGACACCCAGAGTCATCCCCTCCTGCTCCCTCACCTTGGGGACATGGGGGCAGCTCAAGACATGGCAGGAGGGAGGACTCATCCCCTGTCCTACCCCACAGCACAATCGTTTCCCCAGCCTGGCAGTCAGCACTGGAATGTCGGGGTGGATGGGCTGGCCTGGTCACAGGACTGATCTTGGACCATCAGGTGGGGCTGCACAAACCCACCCTTCCCTCACATCGAGCCCTGCTGCAGCTCCTGAGGAGCCTCTGCGGCACTGCAGGGGCTGCCCAGCCCTGCCAGTGAGGGGATGGGACCACAGAGGCTGTTGGGAGGCAGACAGTGCCTCTTTCCATGTGCCACCAGTGCCTGGGTTGGCCACTGCCAGGGGCTGAGGAAGGAGATGTCCCTGCTCAACTGAGGTGTAAGCCAGCCCTGGTGAGGCCAACATACCACATCCCAACCCCAGAAGCTGCCAGAGCTGAAGGGAGCATCAGAGCAGCGAAGCAGCATGGAGGAAAGTGAAGGCTTTGCAGGGTCAGCCCCCAATGCCTGCACCCCTCCTGCTCTGTCAGCGGCCTCGGCCAAGCCATGACTCCATGGCACCACATCCCCATGGCGCCATGGCACCACAGCCGTCACCAGGGACAGCATCGCATGGGCAGGGCTGCACATGGCTGGGACCATAGGTGGCCATGGGTGGCTACAGGGATGTGGGGCACAGCCCACAGCACCCCAGGGACCCCTCAGCGCCCACAGACTCTCCCTCCCACCCACGCCCAGGAGGCCGCCTGGCCGCCGGCGGGGGCGGACACGGTTGACGCAGGTGGAGCTGTGCAGTCAGGGGGATGGAGGCCCCCGTGCCCCCTCCCCACACGGGGCGGCCCCTCACTGGGACCAGATGCCTCCTGCCCACAGCCCACCCCAAGGCCAGCGGTGCTGAGTGATGGCTGCGGCTGGGAGACCCCGTGCCGGGGAGGGGCTGCCCCATCCACCCAACGCTGGCGCCAGGCAGGAGACGAGGACGTCACCCGCCACCCCTGCGCGGGGACGGTGCTTCGTCACCGCTGCGATGGCGGGGTGGGCCAGGAGGCGAACACGGTTCTGCTGGCGCCCGGGTGGGACCCCCACAGTCCCCAGGCTCCCGCCCCACACCGCCCCATTGCCCACATGGCTGGGACCCGGCCCCCAGCTCCACACGGCCTCCAGTCTTGTCCCCGCATGCGGCCACACACTGTGGACGTGGCAGTGCCGCCATCTTGGGTGGGAGCAGAGCTGAGCCAGGCCAGGGGTCTCCAGCACTCACACACGGTCCCAGTGCCCAGGACCCCAACCTCAGCACCCCTCCTGCTTCTCGGGTGCAGCAACCAGCACCCCAGCACTGCTGCTCAGCCCCCACCACGGCATTCAGCCCCAGCTTCAGCAGCAGCTCCTCAAGCCCTCGCTGCTACCCCAACAAAAAACAGGCCTGCCCTGGCCTCTCCCACAGCACTGGCACTCAGTGTTCCACACCGATCTCTGCACATTCAGATCTAGGATCCCATCTCCAGACACCCCATAGTTCCCTCCTCACCACCGCCCCCATCCTCCAGTGTTCACAAGGCCGGGGCATCTGTTCTGTACATGGACACGCTTGGTCCTGCAGTCCCACGGTGCGTCCCCCACCCTTCATCGTGCCCCCCCCCCCCATCACATCTCACACTCCACAGAGCCCCCACCCGACTCTCCGTTCCAAGGGAACCCTCACTCCGCACCCCATAGAGCACCCACCCCACATCCCGGCTCCCCACAGCCTCCAGCAGCTCCCCGTTACGGTGGGACAGAGTCACCACCCGGCACTTCCAAACAGGGGAAGGGACCGGCCACGGAGTGGAGCTCGAGACCGGAGCCTGCTGGGACCCCTCGAGCTCCACCCGGACCCGCCGGACCCTGCCCGGTGCCGCGGTGGAGACGCCGGTGGCCGCGTCTACCCCGAACCGCTTCCGCGGGCCCCGACGGCGGCGAGCGAGGACCGGGCTCTGTGGGAACCTGTGGAGCGCACGGTCCCCGCCACCCCCGTCCGATCCCCGTGTCCGCCCCGGACTGCGCCGCGCCCGCCGCAACGCGCTGCCCCGACGGAACCCCGGGAGCGGCCGGTGCCGCGTGAGTACCCGGAATCGTCAGCAGCTGCCGGTAGCCCCCAGCAGCCGTCCCGCCCGCTCACCTGAGAGCCGGTCCTTGGCGATGCGGCGCGTTGTCTCCATCCAGGGGAAGGTGAGCCCCGGCAGCGCGGGCCCCGGCGGCGGCGCGGCGGGCACGGCGGGCGGCGGAGCGGGCGCGGGCCGGTGCGCCGGGACGCGGATGACTCCGGCGGGCGGCGCGGCGGGCGCAGGGGTCACATTCACGCTCACGTTCATGCTCATGTTGAGGTTGTAGGAGCCGAGCGGACCCGTGGGGCCGTAGCCGCTGCCGTAGAGCCCGTAGTCGGGTTCTGCCGCCGCCCGGTGCGGCCCCGTGGGCTCGGGGCCGCCCAGGATCTGGTCGATGCCGAAGCTGATGGGCTCGTGGGGCGCGGGGGGCCCCGGGCCGCCGCCCTCCCGCTCCATCCCGGCCGCGCTCACAGCCGGCGGGGCGCGGGCATGGCCGGGGGGCGGCGGGGGGCGGCGGCGGAGACGGGCGCGGAGCGCCCGGTGCAGGGCAGGACGCTGTGCAAAGTGCGGGTGCGGGCACGGAGCAAGGTGCGGGGCAGGTGCCGGGTGCGGGTGCGGGCCCGGGGCAGGGTGCGGGGCATGGCTCGCAGCCGCTGGCGGCCCCGGGGCGGGAGCGCGGGTGGGCTGCGGGCCCTGGCGGGACGCGCTTTTCTGCCCCGCTCCATCCGGACCGGCCGAACTCCCACCGCCTGCGCCCTGATTGGCGGCCGCGCCCCGTGATTGACATCCCGGGGCCCCGCCCCCGCCCCGGGACCCCCCCCGCCGCTCCGGGCCCCCGCCCCGGCTCCGGGACGAGCGGACGGGCCCGTCGGGTCCCGAGCGCCCGGGACGCCTCCCGTGCACAGACGTGCTCCGTACCCGTTCTCCCCGCCGGGGCGTCCGCCCGACCCCACACTCGGTCCACTGGAGCCGCTGTCGCATGGAGCAGCAGCGCGGCGCCTTTTCGCGTCCCCGCTCCGTCCGCAGCCCCGTCGGCGCTTCCAGCCGCCCCTCCCAGGGCGCACGAAGCGGCCCCTACCCCAGCGCCGTTATCGCGGGGCGCACGGACCGGTTCATGGGGTGCGCAGGCTTCGCACCGAGCCCGGTTCCCACGGAGCCCGTCCATACGGGAGGAATGGATCTGGCGGCCTCGGACGCGCCCGGTGCGGGTACCCAGGGGTTGTTCCGACCCGCCGTTCCCAGAACAGGGACACATCCCGGGATATGGATCCCAATCTCCTCGGGCCGCTGTTGCCAGTAGCTGGCATCTCAGTTCTCAGCAAACTGCCTTTCCTGGGGCACCGACCCAGGAAACCTTCAGTTCCCGGGCCACGAACGCCCTTTCCCCGAGACCTGCCGTTCCCGGGCCACGAACGCCCTTTCCCCGAGACCTGCCGTTCCCGGTATCGTGGACCTCATTTTCCAATGACCAGACTGTTCAGGGGCATGGAGTCCCACAACCCTGGCCCCGCCGTTCCCGGAGATAGCCCCCAGTCCCCGACCCGCCGTTCCCTTGGATGGACCCCTATTCCCCGCCCCGCCTTTCTCGGTCGCAGAGCCCAGCCCGGACACGTCGGCGGGCGGTAACGGCAGCGGAGAGCGGCACGGGCTGGGCCAGGTCTTCCGACGACTATCGCGACAACGACGCGGCGGTCCAGCGGGTGGGTTCCCGGCGGCTCTCGGACGGGTCACGGCCCCGGGACAGGGGCTGGCGGGGCGGAGGCGGCCTCCCGGGCACCCTGGCGCCACCGGTCTGGGGCAAATGACATTACCGGGGCCTGCGCCTGTAAATCACGGCGGCACCGGGGGCTGCAGCTGGCGCACCGGGAGCGCGGCACGCCCCGGGGCACCGGAGGCACTGCACACCCCGGGACACCTCACATCCCAGGGGCACCGCAGCCACCGGGGGGCACTGGGTGGTCCCAGGCTCGCCTCAGTGTGGGGTGCCCATCCCTGAAGCCGCAGCTCTGCCGGGAACCGGGGCTGCACGGGCACACGCCCGTGCCACCCTCGGCCATGCCCACGTCCCACACGGTACCGGGAACGGCCGAACTGCCCCTCTCCACACCAAAGGCACGGACGGAGCTTCGTGTGCCCACAAGGGGAGGGGGACACACCACCGGGACCCTGCCCTGCAGGCGCCATGGATTTCTGGCGTTTCCTGCTCGCAGCCCGGCAGGTGCCGGGAGAAATCCCAGTGTTCTCGCTGTGGCTTTTCCACCTGGAAAGAGCCACTGGCTCCGGGTCTGGTACGGCAAAGGGACCCGCTGCGACCCCGTGGGGTGCAGCCGTGGCGGCGGCAGTGGCAGTGACAGCGGTGACAGTGGCGGCAGTGGCGGTGACAGTGGCAGGAGGAGGAAATGGCCGGTGCCGGAGCAGGAGGCGGCAGCAGGTTAATTGAACCCGGAGCAGGAGGCAGATGTTGCCGTGCCCAGGGGCTGGAATCTGCCGGGCTGGGAGATGGATTGGGGGGCTGTGACGGGGCCGGGGGCAATTCGGGCTCACCCGGCGCCTGTTTGCGCCAGGGCCCGCCCCATGCCCACGGGGGTCTGCAGGCGGCACCCCCGGCCGGAGCAGCCCCCCTGCCCGGCACCCACACGCTCCACGACCAGGGCTGCCCTGGGAGGGCGCAGAGAAGAACTGAGGGTGCTCAAGGAGTCCTGAGTCCCTTCCCACCCTGGCTGTGGGTGCAGGGTGTCTCCCTCCCAGTTACCCCGCTGGTCAAGGGCCTCTCACTGTCACCTCCTTGTGCCGCTGGCTCTGTCTTCCCAGTGACTCTTGGGCCACCTGGAAGGAAGCCGTGTCCCTGTGCCTGCCCCAGGGTCCCCTGAGCCACCATGTTGCACCAGGCGGGGTCCCACAACCCGGGACCCTCCAGTGTGCCAGTACAGAATCTGCCTCGTTTCTCGGCTACGGCGGGCACCCCCGTGTCCTCAGTGTGTGCCCCCTCCCACCCCAAGGGGCTGGGCCTGGCTGTTCTTGTGGGTGGCACTGACAGCTGGATGGAATGCGGCAGAAAAGGGCATTTGCCCAATTCCGGGAGGGAATCAGCCTTCAGCCAGTGCAGCACCAGGCCCTGCCACCGCCAGAGCTGCACCAGCATCTCCCCGCCCCGCTCCCTCCATGTCCCTCTGCCCCTGGGAGCAGCGGGTCACGCATGGTGTCTGTGGGGTCTGCCACCTGCCCGTCCCACCACGGGGGTGCTGCCCGAAGCTGCCGGGGCTCCTTTCCCCGTCCCTCACAGTAGCCCCGGGGCTGCCGGTGCAGCTTCGCGGCTTCGTGGTGCCACGTCCCCAGTGCCGGCCGTGCCGATGCCCCCGTACCCCCTACGGGGACGCCGCGGGCTCTGTAGCTGCTGCCGGGGTGAGGGTCGCTGGGACGGGTCTCTGCCTGTCCCTGGTGCCACCGGCGGCTTCCCCGGTGCCCCGGCCATCACGGCGATGGCGCGGCGGGGACCTGGCAGGGCCCCACGTTCCCACCGGCCAGAGGCTGCCGCGCGCCCGCTCCCGCCCGCTCCCCCCCGTAATCTCATTACCGCTGGACGTCCCCTTCTTCCTCCCGCTTCCCCCCAAACCCGCTGGCAAACTGGAGGGACAGTCAGCTCCTCTCTGGCTGCTGGGTTAATTCTGGGCTAATTAGATGAACCAGCCCAGATTGGATTACTTTAGCCTGCATTTGGTCCTCCAGTCCTTGGCTTGCGGCTCCCGGGGGAGCTGCTGGCGCCTCCTGCCTCAATCAGACACTTCTTAACCGCATGAAACACTCCCGGTGCCCCCCGCCGCCCGCCCGCCGCGGGCGCCGGCACCCGGACGGGGTGCGCGGGGTGAGGCGGCAGCAGCCGGTGGGCGCGGTGCCCACCCCGACCCGGCTGACACGCACAGAGGGCTGGAATGAGGATGGATGGGGCCGGGATGGGGATGGGATGCAGTCGGGATGGAGCGAGGATGGGACCGGTGTGGGGTTGGGATGGGGTCACTGTGGCCGCGGATGGCCCCCGCGGGCTCTCGGGGACCCGACAGCCGAGTCGCCCGCTCGGACGTCACGGTGGCCCTCGGCGTCTGCGCGGTGTCCTCGGGGAGGAGCCGGGTGCCACATGGGTGCGTGGGCGGCTGCACGGTGACGCCAACACCCGGCTGCTCGGGTGCTTCTCCCCCCGGCCACTTCCAGCCTGCAGCCCTTGGGGACAGGGAGTGCTGCGGTTCCGAATTGGGGTGTGTAGCACGGGCCATCCCCCTCAAACCCCCTGGGGGCCCGAGATCCCTGGACTGGGAGCAGGGTCAGAAGGGCTGGGGGGCACAGTCTGAGTTGTGGGGCTGCAGAGGTGATAGATGCCAGCGGAGCAGGAGCTGAGCCCCCCAGGCATTCGGTGGGGTGAGGGCAGTGGGGAGGGGGATGGAGCAGGGGATAGGAGGGGATGCTGGGGGAATGGGGGGCAGACACAGCCCCCACCCCTTGGGCTGCAGGACAGGCAGCTCCAGCCCCACTGGTGAGTGGGACCAGTGTCCAGGAGCCACGGGAGCATGGCTGGGCACACCGGTACCCTCTCCCACTCCGGGTGCCCTCAGGGTGCCCGCATATCCCACCCCGTCCTCCCCAGGGTCCAACACTAGCCGGGGGCTGTTGAGGGGGTCCTGCCCAGCCTGGGGGCTGCAGGTGCCAGTGCTGCCCGTCCTGGTGGGCTGGTGCCCATTGGGGGGCCACAGTGTGCCGGTAGCTGGTGGCCGCTGACAGCCACGTCGCTCAGGGCCTCGTTATCGAAGGTTAATTGGATTCTGCAAATGTACTCGGTGCATTAGGCAGGCGCTCAGTCCATGAGCACCCAGCCCCCGCTGCCCTTTAGGGACCCTTGCTCACCTAAGAGGGATTAATGGGGGACCCCTGATCACCCCCTGGGGACACCTGTCCACCCTGGGAGACCCCTGCCCACCCTGCCAGGGATCTCTGTCTGCCCTGAGAGTCTCCTGCCTTCCTTGGGGGATCCCCTATTCACCTTACAGGAACGCCTGCCCACTTTGCCAGGGACGTCTGACCACCCTGGTGGACCCATGCCCACGACGTCACAGCCCCTTGCCCACCTTTGGCAACTGCCAGCAGACATCCCTTCTACATTTACACATCCACAGAGCCCCCGTGGGGCCGTGAACCGGCATGTGGGGCCGGTGGGGAGCCAGGACAGCAGCTCTGGCTCTGGGGACAGCAGGACAGGATCTCGACCGTGGTGCAGCGGGACAGATCGAGGAACGAGGAGGAGCTAACGTTACTGCCCTGCTCCCACTGCGGTCACGATTGTGTCCAGCCTCAGCTCAGCCTCGCTCAGCCCCAACGAGGGGTCCGGCCGGGAAAGCGCCCGGCAGCACTTCCCAGAAGGAGCCGCCCTGGCCCTGCCGCGGAAATGGAGCTGAATATCTGAGCAGAGCTGAGCTAAAAGCCTCGGCCCCGCAGCCCCGCGCAGCCCCGGCGGCTCCCGCCATCAATTATTAACGGCGAGATGGATCCGCGGCCTCACACGTGCCCGGCGGGCGGGGGAGGCTCCGGGAGTACCGGCTGCCGCGACCCCAGCCCCGGGACGGGCTCCCTGCCCTCGGTCCCCCGGGGTCCCGTGCCAGAGCCACCCACAGAGCCCGCTCCTAGCCCGGCCGGGACTCGCGGTGTCGGTGTCGGGTGCGCTGCCGGTGCCGATTCTCCTCACGGCGGCGGCAGAAAGAGATGTTGTCCCGCCGCGGGGCCGCTCTGGCCCCGCTGTGACCCCCGCCCCTCCCCGGATGACTCCTGGCAGGTACAGATGGGACCGGACCCTCCCCAGACGGGGGTCACCGGCCCCCGCCGCGCTCTTGCCTCCCCGGAGGCGCGGGCAGGGGGTGGGCGGGCGGAGGGGCGGAGGCTGGTCCAGAGCCTCTGCCCGCCGGCTCCTCGGCACCGGGAGGGACTCGTGCTGCTCCCGGTGGGACCCCGGGGGTCCTGAGGCCCAGCCACACACCGTGCGCGGCCAGGGGCCTGGCACCGGGGTCACCGAGACTTGCCGGTGCCGCATGGTGCTGCTCCGGTTCGGCAGAGGGGACAGCGCCACTGCATTGGGCACACTGAGGGAGCCGAGGGGTGGAGTAAGTGCTGTGACCCGTATCCAGAACCTGGACCTGGATCAGGACCGGAACCGGGACCAGGATCATGCCCAGAACCATGACAATGACCGGGACACATCCATCAGCCGCAAACCTGCACTGTCCCTGGCCGTCGCAGCCCGTGCAGAGCTGCAGGGCTGGCAGCGTGGCTGCGTGCCAGGAACTCCATGCTGGGATGGTGGGTGCCAGCCCCTGCTCGGGGATCCCGCCGTGCTCCTCTGCCCGCTCCCACTCCCTGGCATGTACCAGCCTTCCCCGCCGGCCAGTCTCGGGTCCGGGTGGGGCTGCACAGTCTGTGAGGAGCCATGGGGGGCTGTGAGGAGCCTTGGGGAACTCGGCTCGGCTCCGCATTAGCGCGGCCGCTGCTTCCCCTGAGCCAAACCTTCATTAGCGTGGCTCCGGCTGCGCCGGGTGGGGCCGTGGGCTGCTTCGCCAGCACCCCAAACTGCCAGCACCGCAGGACCCGACACCCCGAACTGCCAGCTCTTCAACCCTACCAGCACCACACCAGCACCGGACACCCCAAATGTCAGCACCAACAGCACCCCGACACCCCAAACTGTCAGCACGCTGGTACCCCAGCAACACCCCAGCACCCCAAACCTGCCTGAACCCCGAACTGCGAGCACCCTGGCACCCCGAAGTGCCCCTGTTTCCCGAACCTCCAGGGCCAACACCCCGACCCTGCCAGCACCTCAGTACCCGAACCCTGCCTGTGCCACTGCATCCCTCAGCCCAGCCCTGCACTCGCCGCTGCAGTTCCCCCTGTGCCCCAGTCGGGACACCCCCGGGTCCCCTCCTGAATCCTCTCAGAGGCCCCCCAGACCTCTCTCACCCCATGGGCCCCCCTAACCTACCCCTATGAAGTCCCCTGCGTGTACCCCGTGCCCCACGCTGACCTCTCCTCCCTTTCGTGCCCCCTCGAAGCCTCCAGATCCCCTCAGACCCCGCCACTCCCGTCCTCCCGGTTCCCTCTCGGTTCCCTCCCGGTTCCCTCCCGGTTCCCTCTCGGTTCCCTCCCGTGTCCCCCGCACGCCCCGTGGCCCCCCCGCCCCTCCCGCTTCCCCGCGTTGCTCTGCTGCCCCCTAGTGGAAATCCGCAGCACCACTCCACGCAGAGCCCTCTCTGATTGGTGGCTGCTGCTGTCCGTCAACAGCGCGCCCTCTCCCTATTGGCCGGTGCCGGGAACACCCTCCCCTAAACACGGCGGGTCCTGTGGCGGCGGCTCCCGGCGGGTCCCCCGGTCACAGACGAGGCCGGGGGGTCTCGGGATCCCGAGCCTCTCCCCGTGGGTCGTGGTAAAGGGTCAGAACAGGGCCGAGCTTGCGCTGCCCGCCGCTACTCGAGACCTGCGGGGCACTCTAGGAGTTGTAGTCACTCCGTTCGCCGCGGCCCCGCCCCGAACCCGGAAGTGCGCGAGGCCACAGGCGGAGGCGGCTCTAAGATGGCGTCGCCTCCTCAGGGGGGCCCGATGGCCATCGCCATGCGGCTGCGGAACCAGCTCCAGGCCGTCTACAAGATGGACCCGCTGCGGAACGAGGCGAGAAGCCGTGCCGGGAGGGCGGGAGGCACCGGGAGGAGGCGGCGGCGGCGACACCGGGGGCCAGGGCGGGCGGGAACGGGAGGTGCCGCGGTGGCGCCGCTGGGGGGCGCTGTGAGACCAAGGGGCGGTGCGGGAAGGCGGGGCCATGGGTAGGGGGCGTGGCCAAGGCTCGGGGCAGGCACTAGGCTGGGGGTGTCCCCAGACCCCCAAAACCCCATTTTCTGACACAATAAGGCAAAACAGACTATCTAGCCCCGTCCAAATCCGGTTTTCTGACGTAATAATGGAATACAGAGTGGTCAGTCTTGACTTCTGGAATGTTAAGGCAAGACAGAGGGTACAGCACCCCAAAATCCCATGTTCTAAAATAATAATGGAAGACAGGAGCACAGCCCCCCTAAATCCTGTTTTCTGGCATAATAAGAGAAAATAGGAGACGTGGTCCCCCAGAATCTCATTTTCCGGCATATTAAAGTGAAACAGTGAGGGCAGCTTCTCAAAATCCCATTTTCTGGTATAATAATAGAAGATAATCCCTACGAAATCCCGTTTTCTGACATATTTTAGCAAGACAGGGGTGACCAGCCTCTCAGAATCTGTTTTCTGGCATATTAAAGCAAAACAAGAGGTGCAACTCCCCAAAACCCCCTTTTCTGGCATATTAAGGAATGGCAGGAGAAGCTCCTTGGGCTGAGGGGTTCCAGGTGAAGGGTGAGAGAGGTCTCGGGGGTCTCCAGGTGGCAGGTGAGGGTGGTCCTGGGATGCTCCAGGTGACAATGAGGTGTCCCTACAGGAGGAGGTGAAGGTGAAGATGAAGGAGCTGAATGAGCACATCGTGTGTTTCCTGTGTGCCGGGTACTTCATCGACGCCACCACCATCACCGAGTGCCTGCACACCTGTGAGTGTCCCCACCTGGGTGGGGAGCTTGGGGGGGGCTGTGAGTCCCGTGGGGTGTGGTCCCAGCCCTCCTACACCCCCCATACCTGTCCCTGTCCCCAGTCTGCAAGAGCTGCATCGTGAAGTACCTGCAGACCAGCAAGTACTGCCCCATGTGCAACACCAAGATCCACGAGACGCAGCCGCTGCTCAACCTCAAACTGGACCGGGTCATGCAGGACATCGTCTACAAGCTGGTGCCCGGCCTGCAGCACAGTACGGGGGGCACAGGGGACATGGGGGCCTCGGGGGGCATGGCCTGCAGCACAGTATGGGGGGCATGGGGACAGGGATAGGGAGCTAGGTGGGGACAGGGACAGGGGTGGGGATATAGACAGGGAGAGAGTGAGGAATGGGGATAGGGATGGGAATATGGACAGGGGAGAAAGAGGGATGGGGATGGATAGGGAGCTAGATGGGGACAGGGAGAGCGAGAAGGATGGGGGCAGGGATGGGGATATGGACAGGGAGAGAGAGAGGGATGGGAACAGGGACAGGGATAATGACAGGGAGAGAGAGGGGGATGGAGACAGGGACAGGGTCTGTGGTGGGGGCTTGGTGCAGTGGGAGGACAGCCAGGGACCGCCCTCAGTGGCAATGGGCCCAAGTGTGTCCCTGAACCACCTGTCCCTTGCAGGTGAGGAGAAGCGGATCCGGGAGTTCTACCAGTCCCGTGGCCTGGACCGAGTGACACAGCCCAGCGGTGACGGTGGGACAGGGGGGCATGGGGGGCAGGCAGCTGCGGTGCTGGGGGGTGTCAGGGGCACAGGGGGCTGACAGTGCCACCTGTGTCCCCAGACACGGTGGGGGGTGACCCCATGGGGCTCCCCTACAGCACCTTTGATCACTCACGTGCCCACTACTTCCGCTACGACGAGCACGTCTCGCTCTGCCTGGAGAAGATGAGGTGAGTCTGGGGGGGCTGCAGCCCCTCAGTGTGGTGGGGAGGGGACACAGGGGACCCTGGGCATGGCCTCCACTGCTGAGACCCTGGACATGTGTTCCTTTCTCTTCCTGTCACAGCTCCAGCAAGGACAAGAGCAAGGCCGTGCTGCAGGTGAGTGGGGATCCCTGATTACCCCCAGTTCTCACCCTGGCCCTGCCAGGGGTATGTGGATTCCCGGGGGGCTATGGGGTCCCTGGAGGCACCCACAGCCCCCCCAACTCTCTTCTATTTTGCCACTCACAGCAGAAATACGTGAGGTGCTCGGTGCGGGCGCAGATCCGACACCTGCGGAGGGTCCTTTGCCACCGGCTGGGGCTGTCCCTGCAGCACGTGAGTGGGGGTCCTGGGGGGTTCCCAGCCCCCAGGGGTGTCCTGGCCCCCCGTGATAGAGCCTCCCTGTGCAGGTGCAGATCTTGTTTGACAACGAGCCCCTCCCCGACCACATGACAATGAAGCAGCTCTGGCTCTCACGCTGGTTCGGCAAGGTGTGCATCCATCATAAGAGATGGCAGCCTCTGATTTTGGGGTTCACCCAGCGTGGGGGTGGTGGGGTGACCCTCTGGGAGTGGTTCAGGGCAGTGTGGGTTTGGGGAATTGAGGATCTTAATGTCAGTGGCTGCAATGGTGATCTGGGGAGGTCTCCGGCCCCTGTAAGGGTCAGGCAATTGGGGGTCCCCAAAGGGGCTGGCCAAGTTCGGGGTGCAGCCACCTGGGAGTCCCTGGGCTGGGATTGGGGGTCCCTGTACCAGGGGACTTCTGGGCTGAGGTTTGGGGTCTCTGCCCCAAGGGGATCTTGGGCTGGGATTTGAGGTCATGGGCTGTGATGGGAAGGCTCCCTGTCTGCTGGGGTTCCCTGGACTGGGGTTTGGAATCCCTGCCCTGGGATCTGGGGTCTCTGCCCCAAGGCGGGGTCCTTGGCTGGAATCCCTCCAGCTCTGACCCCCCCCCGTCCTCACCCCACAGCCTGCGCCCCTCCTGCTGCACTACAGCATCAAGGACAAGAGGAGGTAGGGGTGGGGGGTGGGTGCTGCCCCCCCATTGCAGCCCTGCTCCCGCCCCCCCACTCCCCATAATTTATACCCCACTTGGAATTTATTTTTGGAATAAAATTGTGGAAAAACCCTCTCTCGTCCTTGCTTTGTCCGGGGGGGAGGATCTCAGGAGTGTTCTCTCTGCACCAGCACCTCCCGGAGCTGGGGAGGCTGGATGTGGGGAGTCAGTGACCCCCGGATGGGGGGGCTGAGTCATGGAGAGCTTAGGGGGTGCACTGTGGGCAGTGGGGCTATCCAGCTCCCCCCGTCCCCATTCCCCCGCCGTGCCGCGGGGGTCTCGCAGCCCCTCTGGGGACTGCGGTGCCGTGCGGGCACTCCCCACATCGATCCCGTCACGGCTGCCTGACGCGTGTCCGGCCCCTCCGCCTTCACCCCCCCTCATATAATGAGTCTTAATAAAGTCATCGGCCCTTTGATTGCCGGGGGAAGGGGGGAACCTCGCAGCGCCCCCGCCCCGCGCGGCCCTAATTAGCCCAGGACAATATTCCGCCATCTGGATCCGTGCGCAGCAGCCACGGGCACAGCTGCGGGCGGGGGGGTCCCGGGGGCGGGGGGTGTCCCTGGGGTGGGGCTGGGACCCACGGCTGTGGGAGGAACAGGTGCCGGATCCCAGTGATCCCGGTGATCCCGGGAACGCGGCTCCGGAGGGGCCCTGGCTGCGGCACAGGGCTCAAAGATCCCCGGTCCTGACCCGGTGGTGCCAGTGCCGGGCGGCTGTCCGGGATCACCCCTCCATCCTCGCCCTCCGAACCGGGTGTCCCATCCTGGGGTGGGCACGGTCCAGGACCCACCGGCCCGTGGTGGATGTGACATCGGGTGGCCCGTGGCTCGTCCTTCATCCCCGGCCCCGCACTGAGCTCTGCTCTCGGTCCCCCGCGCCGGAACCCCCGCGCCGCCGCCGCTGCCGGAGGATCCGGTTACGGCCCGGCCCGGCCCAGCTGTCGGCCATCGCTCACCGGGCGGGGGGCGGCCGGGCTCGCCTGCCCAAAGCCCCCACAAGGACGAAGGGAAACGCGGGGGCTGCAGGGCCATGCGGCCATGGAGATCCCAGCTGGGGCTGGATGGGAGGAATGGGGGTTCCAAATGAGGGTGGAGGGGTGGGGTGCGGGATTAGGGTCCCAACCGGAGAGGAAAGGGTGAGGTTGTGGAATGGGGGTTCTAAATAGGACTGGAGGGCTGGGGGGGAGCAGAATGGGGGGCTCAGTAGGTCTGGAGGGTTTGGGGTGTGAGGTGGGAGTACCGAGTGGGGACAGAGGGTTGGGCTATGGGATGGGTGTCCCAAAAAAGGCTGGAGGTGTGGGGGAGCAATATGGGTGTTCTTAACGGGGCCACAGGGATTGGGCTGCAAGACTGGGGTCCCAGCCGAGGCTGGAAGGGTGGGGGTGCAGGATGGGGGTCCCAAGTGGGATCAGAAGGTTGGATATGGCATCCTAAATGAGGATGCAGGGCTGGAGGTGTGGGACAGGGATCCCAACAGGCACCGGAGTGCTGTGGGTATAGTATGGGAGTGCCAACCAGAGCTGGAGGAGTGGAGGTGGATCCCAATTAGGCCTGGAAAGCTGGGGGTGCAGGACAGGGGTCCAAACGGGGGCTGCCTGTGAGGGAGTGGGCGTGTAGATGGATGGAGGGACTGACTGACGGACGGATGGATGGATGCCGGGGATGGAGAGGTGGGGGCTGTCCCTGTGTCTGTCAGCAGCGGCTCTGGCAGCCAGTTACAGACGGCAGAGCAGGAAGCCCCCCGGAGCCCCCCACTCCCCCCCAACTCTGCACCCCCTCCCTTATCAGCGCCGGCCCCGGAGGAGCCTAATTCAAACCAACTGCGGGGCTGACGTTGGTAAATGAGCCCCCAGCCCACGGCCTGGCCCCAGCGCCCACGGGGGCTGCCCCAGAGAGGGGGGAGATGAGAGCTGGGGGATCCAGCGGGGCAGGGGCAGGTACTGAGGGGATGTTCCCGTACCCCCGAGGCGCGGTCAAGCTGAAGGCACTTTGATGTCTCCCCACCTCGTCATGCTCCGAGGGGGCTAATGGCCCCCGGCTCCAGCCAGGCAGAGAGGGAAACCTGAGCCCCATCCTCCCCTGTTCTTAACCTGGGGGGCTGTCGGGGGTCCCCAGCTCTGCCCGAGAGGATCTGGGCATGACATGGACCCACGTGCCCAGGGACCCCTAGGAGCTCCTTGGCTATGTAGGACCCCCAGGGGTCCCACTGGGGATGGTGGCACCCCCCGCTTGGAGAGTCCCAGGGCTCGGATGCGGGGTGAGAGGTGAAGGGACCTACCCATGGTGTGGCAGGGATGTGCCGGGGGGCTGCAGGTGTAATACTGGGGGGGGTCTGTGGGAGGGACCCCGCAGGGAGACACCTCAAGCCTCCTGCCCTCCACAGCCCTGCAGTTCCTGTGCCAGGTGGGGGGCAATGGGGGCACAGCATCACCCCTCCCTCCTATGCCAGTGTCCCCAAGCACTGCCCTTCCCTACTCCCCCACCCACCCCTGCCCCTCACTGGGGGTCATCCCCAGTCACCTCCAAAACCCCACAAAACCCACCAGCGCCGTGGACCATCCCTCTGGGGGTCCCGCTCACCCCCAGCCGCTGCCCTGACCTGGGGGTAGGCACAGGCGGTGCACCCCGGGCTGCTGAGCCCCACTGGCTGTGCAGAACCACCCCCCTCAGCTGTACCGTCCCCGCCATGCTCCGCCATCCTCCGGCTCTGCACAGCCGTGACAGAGACAGATGAGCCCTCGGCACCTTCACATCCCATTGCGGGGTGAGGGGCCATGCCCGGCGTCCTGGAACGTGGTGGGCACTGGGATGGGCTGGGTGGGCACCGTGGGGACACGTGTGACACAGTATTGCCACTCATCCTGGCCTCCCACCCCAAGGAACCCACTGGGCCCATGGCACCCATTCCTGCGGTGCCCATCCAATCCCATCCCATCCCATCCCATCCCATCCCATCCCATCCCACTTCATGCCCAGTGGCACGCGGCTGTCACGACGGGAATGAGCTGTCACGACAGGAATGAGCCGTCGCGTCAGCGCGGGGACGGACCTTCCCTGTAACGAAGCTCCAGGACGAGGCTGATGAGAAAATCCAAACGCAATTTAATTCCTGTCACCGCTTGAGCGGCTCTAAATGACGCCAGGGGGTTCTGACGGGCCCACGTTGAGCCCCTCCCAGTTCGCCCCACACTGTGCCCTCCTCACCTCCGCTGGCCCCCCCGGCCCCGTGCTTCCTGCCCACTTCCTGAGGATGTGGGCACCGGCGCTGGCACCGGGATGCCCGCCGGCGTGGGAAGGGGGGCGAGAGGGGGGCACCTTCCTGCGGACAGAGGGGTCATGGCAGAGCCTGGGAAAGTGCCGCCCCCGGGACCCCAACACCCGCTCCATCACCTGGGGATGGCGCAGCGGTGCTGGTGATGGCAGCACTTGTGGCACCGAGCCGTGGCGCCCAATCCTGCCACCGGCATTCTCGGACTGCCCGGGACGCCCAGTCCCAGCTGCTGGGGGGTGACAAGATGAAATGTCCCCAGCGAAAAGGGCACCGAGCACTGTCAGCCCCTCTTGGCACGGGTGCGAGGGCTGGTGGGGCCGTGGGAGCGGGATCAAGGCACCCCTTCACGTCTCCCGGTTTATTTTGGCCGCCAGAGTTTCCTCCAAGCCTTTGTCTGGTGGCTGCAGCCCCCCCGCGCCCCCCAGGCTTCCTGCGTGTCCGCACGGACGGGGGGGGGGATAAGCTGCGGGACCACCGCCCCGGCACGCCCCACCGGGATCGGCGGGATGGGAATGCGAGGAGGAGGAGGAGGCTCCAGTGCCTGCGGTTCTGCCACGTGCACGGGTGGGACATGGAATGGGATGTGGGATGCGATGGGATATAGGATGGGACATGGAGTGCACAGGGGACGCACACATGGGGTACAGGTGGGCACAGAGGGCAGGTGTGGGTTCTCTCGGGGATGCCAACCTGGTCCCCAGGGCCAGGCTGGTGCAGGTGCTGCGGTTTGGGTGCTGCTGCCCTGACGTGGTGCTGGTGCCGTGGTGTGGGCGTCATGGCAAGGGTGCCATGGTGCCAGTGCCATAGTGTGGGTCCCGGTGCTGTGATGTGGATCCCAGTGCCACGATGTGGGTCTTGGTGACACAAAGTGGTTATCTGTGCCACGGTGTGGGTGCCAGTGCCACCGCGGGGGCCCCAGTGCCCCAGTGTGTCCCAGCGCGGTGGCGCTCGCCATCCCGCCATTGTTCCACCCTTTGAAGTCGGTGTTTCCTGGCGGGTTTGTCCCGGCCCGTCTGTGCCGGTGCTTCCCAGCCATAAATTACCCAGCACAGGGGTTCGACGTCCGCGTGCCCACGGCCACAGCCTGACAAGGGGCTCCCGCCGAGCTCACATTCACTTGGGACCTGCCAGGGCATGGCAAGGACTCACTGGAGCCCCATGGTACCGTCAGGATGGACATCACAGTGGTCCCTTCCCCATGACCCCCCATCCCCACTGACTCCCGATGGTATAACGGGATAACCCCGGGGTTAGGATTTGAGGCAAATCACAGCAAGACTGGAAGTACCCACGACAGTCCAGCCGATGTGCCAGGGTTTAGGACGGTTCCTCCACTTCTGTCTGGCTGCCCCCAGCGCCCCGAGGCTTCCGTCCGGGCCCAGCGCTGACGGCACGGTCGTTCCCTCCGCTATTCCCAGCATTTCCTGGGGTTTATTGTCTTTCCCTCCCTGTCCCACCTTCCTCGCAGGAAACCCTTCGTCCCATGGGGCCAGCGGCTCCGTTGCCAGCAGGACGGCGCTCCCGGCCCCCTCTCCATGGAAGAGGGACATAGTCGGCTCCCCGGGAGCTGCTCAAGCCCCCAAACCCCGCTCAGACCCCGGTACGGGGGGTCCCGGCTGTACCACGTAGGTCTGAGACCCCGTCACGGCCGTGCCGGCGTGGATGTAGGGATGACACGGCGGAGAAGAGGCTGGGGACTGTCCCCAGAGCCCCTCTCCAACCGGGGGGCGATTTTGTTCTGCCACGGCTGTCGCCCACCAGTCCCATGATCCCTAAAACAATTGGGTGGGTTATTGCAA